GAGGCCAATGGAAGCAACACCAGGCCTCTAGGGGGCTAGCCAACCCCATATCTGATGACCTCCCTCCCCACCCCAGGCCAGATGGCAGAGCCAGGTCTTCAAATCCCTCCAAAAGGCCAGCAGTGAGGGGGCCTATCTCACCTCCGGGGGCAAGATGTTCCAAAGCACGGGGGCTACAGCAAAGAAGGCCCGCCTTCTGGACCCCACTAGTCGGAGTTATACTCTGTAGTAACTTATGGGAGTTTTAATCAGTGACATCATCAAAGTAGGCAATCAAAACTGATGTGGTACAGACTTCATCAAGTTACAAATCCTACCAGATATGATGTGTAACCTAATTCCATCAAGAAAGATGTCATCAGGTAAGGGTTAAATATAAAATCTTTCAGGATGCAAAGGAAAGGGGAGGATTAGGATTCCCTGATTTCAAATTGTATTTTGCAGCCTGCTGTATGGTTTGGATGAAAGAGTGGGTGTTGCTGAGAAATAAAAGAATGTTAGAATTAGAAGAACAAAAGTTCTGAGGTTTGGATGGCATAGGTATTCATGGTACAATAAAGTAAGGTTAAAAATCATTATGTCAGAAGTGCCATATCAAGAATATTTTATTTTTATTTATTTACTTATTTAAATGCCTTTATTGGTTTCAGCACGTTTTATTAAAAAAAAAAAACAGCAGGCAAAGAAAAATGGTTAACATATCAAGATATTCCTAATACAGGAACATGGGGAACTTATAATGAAGTCAAGAGAACAATTGAATGCAGAGGAATTTGGTTTTCATATGCACGACAGATTTTATGTATTTTTTAAAAAACTGGAATTATGCAACGTAAAATGGAATTTGAAATCGAGTTATGTATAAATGATGAACATGTGATTGCTAAAATGTATAAACATTTGCTGAGATTTGAAACGGAAGAAGAAAAAGTTAAAGAGTGCATGATAAAATGGGCTAAGAATTTTGGTTATAATATGCAGATTGATCAATGGGAGAGGATGTGGTTAAAAGGACTGAAATTCACATTGCATTATAATTTAAGAGAGAACTTTTACAAAATGATGTACTGTTGGTATATGACATCATAAAAATTATCTAAGATGTATAAAGGTACTTCTAATAAGTGTTGGAAATGTGGAAAACATGAAGGGTCATTTTACCATGCATGGTGGATTTGTGAAAGAACAAAAAAATATTGGATACAAATACATATAATAATACAAAGAATATTAAAGATCAACATTCAAATGAAACCAGAACTTTTCTTATTGGGACTTATGGATGGCCAATTAGAAAAGCCTTATGGAAGATTGGTTTTGTACATGGTAATTGCAGCGAGAGTGTTATATGCCCAAAATCGGAAAAATACTGAAATACCTACAATGGAGGAATGGATTGTCAAGATGATGGAATTTGCAGAAATGGCAAAATTGACCTGTTTGAGCAGGGATAAGACTTTAAGTAAGTGTTAGACTGGAAACCTCTTGTGGACTTTTTACTGAAAATGGAAAAAAATGAACTGGTGATTTATAGATTTGCTGATTAAAAAGGGTTGAATATGGGAAGAAAGGAAGTATGATAAGTTTGTTAGTAACTGCTGCAAAGAAGATTGGAAGATGCTTCTTTATATATCTATTTTACTTGCACTACTTTTCACATCTTTTTAAATCTTTTTTCTTTTTCTTTTACTTCATATTATTTCATGTTTATCTTTCATTTCTATGTAAATCTTAAGAAGGAGGAGGAGGAGGAGGAGGAGGAGGAGGATGTCATCAGGTCATGAACTCTACTAGGTATGATCTGTTACCAAATCCTATCAAGATAGGCTGCTTGCCAACCCTAAAGGTAATGTTTGTTGATGTCTGGTAACCCTAGGGCTTAACTGTATTGAAAACCTATATTTTGAAGCAAAATCTATTTTGAACACTTTTTGCAATAAAGAAAGCCCTAATAAGGTTTTGTTTGGGGTGAGTTTAAAATCAGCACTTTAGATGCAGGAAATAATAATTATAAACCACAGCATGCATTTTTGAAAGGTAAAGACACATATTTTTGAAAAATGTAACTGGAAACATGCATACCTGTTAAAAACACATACTTTTGCAAAATTTAACAAACACACAACTATACATCCTCTAAACCACCAGAAAGCAATGAAAAAATGAACATTACAACATATCCAATTTTGAGCCTTTCTGAGGGAAAATAAAAGCTGATAAAAAAAACTTGAAACTCCTATGTATAAAAGTAATGGCTAATTCTAACGCCATCACCTTAATTTTATTTTACTTTGTATTATTTTTATAAACAGTGAGGTCTCAGGATGTTAGCCTAATGCAGATTCTATTCTGAAAGCCTCTATCACAAAAATCCTTCATCACTGTCTGATGAGTTGTTTACATGGGGAAGAACAACAAATTGATGGCTGCACAGAAAGAGCTCATTAAAAACTTTTGCTGTAGACTAACCAGACCCAAGGCCCTTTGGAGCATCATAAATATTCTAACAAGCAGGACACTTTTGTTGAATTGGCAACCTTCGTATGTTGCATTGAGGAAGATATGAATCCACTTTCAATTTGGCTCCAATGTTTGACAATGAGGAAGAATTTTTATGATATAGGCTTTCAGAGTCTGGGTCATGCTGACACCTTAATCTTTATACTTGCCATTTGCTGTGTTGCAAAATTTACAATAAGATGGTTTAACACTCTCCTGTGCATTCTCCTCAAACAGGATGCTTGGTTCAGGAGTGCAGAATCTCTTTCTTCTTCTAGGCCTTCACTATAGTGAAAACCTAGAAGGGTCAATTTTACATCAAACAAATCAGCCTCCACGCTGCTTGAAAAAAGACCCCTGCTTCATCCCCAAAGCTAGTTAAAACCAAATTATGCCAGAGGGCTTCTAGGTGTTAAGTGTAATGACGCCATAGTGATACTATATTATGTTTTGTACAATTGCTGTAGGCAGGTAGGTAGTTTACTGGCAAAAGCAAAAACAGAGCAACATCTAAGGATGGATTACTGACTACCATTACTACTTTTTCTCCCTGTTGGGTCATGGGACAAAACAAAGAGCAGATAAAGCAAAGGAAATCTCTAATACCACTACTGAGGAATGGAAGAATAAACAGAAGCGGTTTTCCCATTAGAAGTATATCCATTGTCCTGGCTTACATTAAGTTTCAGTATATCTTATGTTCAAATTTTGTATGTAATTGTCTGCCAAAAAAAATGAAAGAATCCACCTGAAAATTTTTGCTTATTAAAGAGAAAGCTAAACATGTTTCCCTTAGTTCAAGAGGAAAATAATTTCTTCAACAATAGTTTCTGTCTCTATTTTTCTGAAGATTATCAGATTATTATCAGGCGGCATACAAGTTTAATAATAAATAATAAAAATAAAATATTTTCATCTTTTTATATACATTTTTCAGTGTCCTTTTCAAGCTAGCAGTGTGTATTTGTTCTATTAAAATGAATTGTAACAAACACAAAACGTTCTTTATCTCTATTTTATATTTTATTTGTTTATCTATTTATTTGTAGCACTAAAACTGCAAAAAAAAATAAGACGGGGAAGGGAATAATGTATAACTACAGAAACAGCATTATTCAAAGCTTCATTACATAATATGCTAATTAAAGGCCTGAATCTCTTTTGCAGGAATGCTATGGAGACTTATTTTAGATTTCAGATCAGAAGTATAACTTACAAGTTGAAGGATGTCCTCATCTTTTGGCATAACACTAAGTTCCAATACACTGTCACTGTGAGGAAAAATAAATACGCAATTTTATTATCAAGGAAATAAATTACTATACTAACAATTTGAGAGGGAAGTTCATATCTAGCTATGAAAATAGGAATGTTAATAACTCTAGTAGTCACTTTTTCAAACATCCAGCAGAGAATATAAGAAAAACCCAGCACAGAATATAAATATTTATTTCTCTTACACTATTTGCTACAAGTCACTGGTCTTCTTTCAAAGCACAACCCTTGCATTCATCTTCAAAATTACCTACCTGCGTATAATTTATTATGCATATACACACACACACACACACACACACATATATATACATATACATAAATTAATGTATTCCTGCCATTATGAGATACAGAGATCAAGCAGCTGATATTAACACAGCCTGAACTATGGGGGTGGGAGGAAGAGAGAATAATAAATTTAAAATAAATTAAAACAAAACATCTAGGATATCTTCTGTTCATACAATATCCAGTGTAAATATGAAGCCCCTAGGCCTAGATAAATTCTGGGAAAGAAGTGCTTCTGTTGAGTTTTTTAGCATCTCCATGGGGAGTAACATGGCTTCCAAGGAAGTGTGAATCAGTATTCCTTTCTTTTTCCCACTGAAGCAAAGTGGCTGTGTAGAAATTGCCACACTTTACCAAGCAGCCATATGATCCTGGAAGAAGGCATAGTTCCTTTAATGATTCAAAGAGAGGTTTGTTTGCATTGCCATATGGCAAAGCACCTCTTCCAAAGGATTATTCGGAATAATGCAGTATTATTCCACATACAGATGATCAGACATAGGGAAGATAAGCAGTTTGTAAGGAGGAAGCAATAGGATTTTCGCTAATTTGACAGTTTTGTAGGTTAGACCATCATCATAACTTCCTTCCCAACATGAATTACAAAATGGGATATGGACATTGGTTACTGATTTGATTGATACTACTTTCTTAGGATCGGTACAGTCTAAAATTTAACTTTCCAAGATAATTTTTAAAGGAAGCCATTAAAATAAAAATTTCCTAAATATTCTTTTTGCAAAATTTTATCCAGCAATAACCTTGTGCAAATTAATTTCACCGCACTAGCATTTTCAATAGTTTTGGGACACCACATCTTTATGGAAATGTTATGAATTTTTTTCTTAATGCTAATAATTTAAGAATTCTTACAAAATGTTCATATGAAATGTCAACTACAGAATGGAAGAGACAGATCAAGTATAATGCAGTCTCATAATTTTTAAAGAATCCTATGTAAAATACTGATAAAACACATAATTTGATTTTAGTTTCACATCTCCTGCACTATTAAATTGACTGGTGCCTAAAGAGGCTCAAGAAAATACAATGATAGTCTCAGCAGACTTGAATCCTACATGCTTTAATCAAAAGTAAAACAGACTTTGAAAAAAGTAGAAAAAAAGGGTTACAAATTTACATCTCAAAAACTTTAAATAAATCCTGACACTGTATCTTCTTTTAATCCATGCTTGGCTCATTATATTGTTTTATTAAATTCTCAAAATTACATAAGGAATCCTGGATATATTTACATATTTTAAAAAATCTGCTTATTATTTCAAAAGTAAATTGTACATGTATTTCTGCATTGTAGAACTACAAAGTGCATTTGGGAGCTTATAATAGAATACTTCTCAATACAAACAGAACTGTTCAAATCCTTGGTCATAGAATTTTAATATTCAGAGAGAACAGTTTTCACTGAATGTTAGTTTCCCCAAGACTATAAGATCTCTCTTTTGGAATACTGGATGTGCTAAAGAAGAGGTAAGAGCTTGTGGTCTTTTGGATATTGTTGGACTACTTTACCTTGATCTTTGGCAACACTGAATAGAGCTGACTGGAACTGAGGAACAACAACATCTGGAAGTTAATGGCTTTGTCACCTAAACACTGGCCCTGTTCCCACCACATGGTTAATTAGGTCAATGGGGAGGGACATTATGTCATTGGAACCTCAAAAAAGGCTCAACTGACCTAGTAAATGAATCCCAGGAGCTAATATTTAGCACAACACAGACCCATGCTTACAAAGGATTAAATTAACTCCAGCTATCTAGCCATGTTTTGGGAACACCAAATCCAAGTCAATTGCTCTCTTTTGCTTACCCAGCCCTGCAAGAAATAGAGGTGGAAAGATGAGGCTGAATTCAATGCCCCAAACAGCCTGCCTGGCCACTCAGAAAGGAGCTAATAATATACTAAAGCCTGCCAGGGCTTCCTAAGACAAGGGCCCTTTGGTTGATATCAGGCATTTTCATGAGAAAGTGAATATACAGGTAGTCCACTCGTTCAGCGACCATTCAAAGTTATGACAGCACTGAACAAGGGGGACTTACAAAGGGCCCTTGTAGCTGCGGCCACTGCAGCATCCCCATGGTCATGTGATCGCAATTCGGGTGCTTGGCGACCGGCTCACAATTATGATGGTTGCCACATCCCATGGTCACGTGATAGCCATTTGCAACTTTCACCGCCAGCTTCCAACAAACAAAATCAATGGGAAAGCTGGCAGGAGGCTGCAAATCACGATCATGTGACTATGGGATATTGTGACCACACAGGATTCACCAAATGATGGCAACTGGGACTGCTGCAACTGCTGTTGTAAGTCGGCATGGTCACGTGATGTCACACTTTACAACTATGTTGCTTAATGACAGAGTTCCTGGTCCCAATTGCGGTTAGTAAGCGAAGACTACCTGTATTCCTAAAAGGTGACTTTTGATTTAACTAGTGTGATTGTATGTTAGCAAAACAACCAGTAAGAAGTCTTGACTTGATTAGTGAATGGCTGGGTTAAGTATGTCATGGAAAGAAAATCCCTATAGATTATAAACTCCGGTGTAAGGTGCAGTAAAATTCATTTTAGAATTCTTTTCATTCCTGTAAGTATTATCAACAAGAAAAGCCAAACTGAAATGCTTAAACTGTAAGGGAAGAACAACTGGATGTTTTTAACCATTTGACTATGAGGTTTAATTGTAGTTCACCATATCCTATCAACACAAGACAAAACATAAGTAAATCAGCACTTTTTGAAGGTATACTTTATGTGAAATTCAAATTATATTTATAAATAAATGGTTTACCTGTTCTGAATTAAAGCAATTACTTGAGAATATGTCTTTCCTATGACACTTTCCCCGTTCACTTTTATAATTCTGTCACCTACAGGATAAAATAAAGAAACACGGGTCATTCTTTTCTTGATTTAAAGCTGGGACAAATGTTTTAACGAAAAAGGGGGAATTAAAAAAAAAATCACTCTCATTTTCTTTTTTACATCTACTATAATGCCATAACTGGGGTTATTATAATAATACCAGGGATGTTATCAGGGATGAAATCTACAAGTGTGGGAATCATTTATTATTCCAGACCTCATGGCATATACAGAACTTGGACCTGACATTATGGAAATATATAACAACTTCTTGCCTCTTTCTAACAATATGTGAAGTAACTGTGGTTTTCAAAACTCATTAACTTTTTTTTTAATTGACTAACAAAAACAACTAGCAATAAATAAGATTATATAAAAAGAATTAGCTAGATACCAGTCTTAACCAAATGTTCTTTTCTCGATCAGAAACAAACATTTGAAAAAATAATTCTATTCACTACATTTCAGTAAACCTCAATTTAATGAGCTAATGGACGTAAAGGAATTTCCACTATAGCCAAATGGCCATTAAATTGTTACTTGTATTTTATGCATGTGTAAAATATACAAAATGTATCTCATGTGCGTAAAATGTCTGAATGTTATCAGGACTGATTTGTCAAATAATGGACTTTGGGATGAAGTTTAAACTTGCCTATTGAACTGATATCTATAAAATCATACACCAGCCAAATTCAGAGATATCATCACTATATAAAGAGATGTGAAAGACACCTGTGCATAGTCCAGCTTCAAAAGCAGGCCCTCCTTCCTTAACTTGTTTAACAAAAATGGTATCCATTGGCTCCAGCCTGTTTCTTGGTTTCCCTACAAGACAAGTTGGACATAAATTCTGAGACCATGAAATACTTCATAGATACACAGAAAGTCTTTGTAAAAAGTCAACATTTTATTATTCAAAAATTAATAATTTTGTCTATTCACATTTTGCAGAGAGTAATTATTATTCAATTATTGAAATATTATTAATTTCATTGGAGGATATAGCATCATAAACAACTTTCTACCCACTTTTTTCACAAAGTATAATATGTGGTATACATCTAAACAGCTGAGTCTGGTGATAATTGTGAAGGATTTCTTAAACAACTTAAATGACAATTTTGTGAATTGGTTTCTCGATGTTTACTTTCCATTAAGATATGTATGGCCAGAAATTATCATCATCATCATCATCATCACCACCACCACCACAGGTCCCAGGTGGATAAAAATGTCAAATCCAGTCTAACCATTTGGTTGACTGTGTGACCAACAATAATAACAG